AAGTACTAGTTTTTTCATTCAAAAACTTGAGAAACACCAATACACCAACAGTCAATACAAGAAAATTATTACTATAAAAAAATACTTGAAAAGATTTATGAAAATTTACCAGTTCTAGAGGGGGGAAATGGTGTTTGATTGAGAAAAGAGAGAAAAAAAGTTTTTAGTTAAAAGATAAAAAGGCACGCTCAAAGCAGACAAAAAAAAAATTATTATTTGATATTTATTAAATATATTTGATTGTTGGTAAAGAGTTTATCTGATTCATTCAGACCTCTTCAGACCCATTAAAAGTTTTTTAAAAAATAAAACAAATAAACTTAATGGGCTGAATATGAATGAATAAGATTCAAACCTAAAAATCAAACATATTTAATAGACTAAATTTGAATGATTAAGATTCAGTCCTCCATTAAGTGCAAACAAATGAGGCCTAATATACTTTATTATTAAAATACCTTAGTAAAATAAATATTATATAAATAGAGACTATATAATTAGTAAGACATAAACAAGGATACAAAATAATTAATAAAAACTCCCAACTAATATTTCTTAAGAGACATAAAAAAAAGTACAATGGATAATTAATCATCAGTATATTTAATACAACTAGTGAAACTATTCGTGCTTCGCGCGATTATATATAATATTTATTAGATAATAATATGAAATATGTAATATTTAGGTTAGTATCGAATGTATAGATAATATTAATATTTCTACTCGTCTGGATATCATAGACTTTTTTAAAACATATAATATATATATATATATATATATATATATATATATATATATATATTAGAACAAAATATTCACCGTGGTGAAATAAATAGACTAAGAGATAATATGTTGAAATAACAATATATTGTATTAGGTTGAAAATATTTTATATATTTTAATTTTCTATATCTTTTGGAGGAGTACTAATGGTCTATCTTTTGTAGCAATACTTATGTTCTGGTCAAACTCTGATTTCGTCAAAACAAAATTGATTTTTTTTAAATTTTATTATTACATTTACTTATTATAATTTTTTAAACATTAATTAAATACTTATAAAACTTACGAAAAAATTAAACATATAAAAGTTATGAATAATATTTAATATCAAATGTTACAAGTAAGATGAAGAGACATGAGTTATAAATAATTCAAATCTATAATTTTATTAGACAATTAATGTATTACTAATTATATATTGATTTTGTTTGTAAAATAAATAAATAAAAATAAGAGGTGAAAATACAAAAAATAAACAGAGAAAATATAATAATTGGTGATTACATAAAAATTATAAATGCATGTTGAAGCAAAAAGAACGGTGGCAGATTGTTACATACACAAAAAAATGACATCATGAAAATATTATTTTATTTTTCAATTACTTTTTATAATTAAAATAAAAATGAAACTAATCATCATAAATTTTTTTGTTGTTGTTAAAATAAAATAATTATATTAATTTTGTCATAACAAAAAGAAAGTAGAATACTAAAAGATCAAATGATTAACATTGACAATATAATACATTTAGCTAAATTATTTATATAAATCAAAATTTAAAAAACTCTAGCAAAAGTAACTAAGTTGCTAATACAATTCATAGTGAAAAAATAACTTTTAATTATGCTTCATTTTTTTCCTTCTACCATCTTCCTTTGCAAAGAGATCCACCATCATGTTTGATCCATATATCAAACTCTTATTATATGCAACCAACTGAATCATATACCAATTAAAAATAATTACGTCAAAAAAAAAGAATGAAATAAAACTATATTTAATATATTTGTATATTATCTTTTCAATAGTACTAACAATACTAAGTAATAATTATTTCTAGAAATCTAACAAATATTATAATCAAACTATATTATATCTGGAAAACTAACTATTAGAAAGAGTAATTGCATACGGACAACACATTGTTAAGAACTACATAAATTTTTTAATTATACTTACTTTATAAGTTATAATACAAACATAAAAAATATATATTATGAAGATATGTCTTAGTACATAAAATAAAAAGAAAGACTTTAGAATGAAATATATTCTACCTTTATATACTTTTTTTTGTTATATGTTAGTTAATTTACAAAAAAGTATGATGAAGAAGAGAAATTATAACTTTATATGTGAATCTTCATGAAAATAAATATGTATTTATATAGACAAAATAAAGGAAATAAAAAAATAAGGACTTGAGAATGATATATTTATTAACTTCATGTACTTTTTTCTTGTTACATGTTAGTTTCATTCACAAAACAAATACTAATTTATACAGACAAAAATAGAGAAAATAAAAAATAAGAATTTGCAATGAAATATTTCTTACCTTCATATACTTTTTTGTTGTTACAAACCAAACCTATATAATGAAAAGAGAAAGGATAATTGTAAATGTGAATCTTCATAAATTAATATGAATTTATAGGCAAACTAAAGGAATACCATAAGACATCATAAACTTACAAATTTAATTTGGAGGTTATGGACATAAAAATAATGAGAGTTATGAATATTATTAAAAGTAAAAATTAAAGAGGGGCAAGTCATGATTAGTAACTCCTAGTGAATAAATTAAAAAATAAAAATAAAAATACTTAAAATGTAAAAAAAAAATTATTATGATTTCATGATTAGAAGTGAGATAAACAAATAGAGAAAAATCTAGAGAATTTTTTTTATAAATGTTTCTACATTAATAAAATATTTATTTGTATAAATAAAGTAATATATTTTTATAATAAAATAATTAATTTAAATTTAAAAAAGTTTAAAATAAATAAATTATATTTCTCTTTTATTATAAGTGAGATAAATAAATAAAAGGATGAAGAGTTTTTGTTATAAATAATCCTCCATTAATAAAATATTTATTTTTAATAAATTTTAGTAATCCTTTTTATGATATGATAATTTATTTATTTTTTAAAAAAAAGCAAAAAAAGAGAAAAAAATAAATGCATATGGAGGACTAGAGAAGTACCACATTACTTGTCTATGGTCCTCACTTTTATAAATATATATATATATATATATATATATATATATATATATATATATGTTGATTCTGTAGAATTACTGTTATTGGAGTGTTTCATAACATACATAAAAATTATATATTGCAAGTTGAGAAAACAAAACACATCGATCAAGTGAACAAACCTCACCAGAATAGTTATTTTGATTTGGTAAAATATAGTAAAATCGAACAAATAAAATTTCAATTTATTATCAAATTTCATAATGGAATAATGTTCTCAACAAAGTTACTAACCCTTTTTAACTCATAATGCTTAGAGAACCCCAACGAAGTGGGGGGCCAAATAACCTTCTCCAAATTAAAGTTATGAGATAACAAGTGGTGCATTACATAATTATTATCGTGATAGAGTGAAAGAATTTCAATCTTCCCCTCTCGTGAAAATCCAAACTTCTCCTCTCTAAAGTCGAAGTAACTAAGAGTTTCCCTCCAATAAAGTATCCCATTGAGGAAACTACAATCTTGATCAATAAATCGCGAAAAAGAAAATCCACGAATTAATTCTATTTTTCACCCGTGCTTATATTATGTAAGCAAATAATTTGAGAGATTTTATCATAAAAACAAATCAGGCCATTGAAATGATTCGAGCATAAGTTGTGTAATGGATGTGACTGTTAAAAACAAGATGGGGGTGGTTGATTGACGGATATGAGAACAAGCAACGTGGAAATTGATGAAGTTGGCATCACATCGTATTAAAGTGTTCCAAGATGTTGAAATACACGTGAATCACATCAGAGACTTGGCAGACAACCATGAGAGTATTTCGAATACTATATCATCTTCACATTCAACTATGGAATATTTCTTTTTTTTAAGGATTGGTTCGATGTTTGTTTGTTTGCTGCAAAGCCTATAGAGAAAACAAGAAGAAATAAACCTAAAATAAATTGCATTGCCATTAATTATATTTATAAATATAATAAAAGTTGTATGCTACAAGGCTTCTCCATATTTGGTAACTAACCAGTAATGTTGAAAATTTTATTTTAAAAAGTTGTAGAAAGTCAAATTTCTAGTCACATAGATGGGGCAGTACAAAGGGGTTAAAAATCTTACATTAAAATCACTTTCAATAATTTTATTAGTATTGGGCGGCTTTAAATAGCCAACATAAAATATGTAATTTACTTAATTTGGAATTTAAAATAACGTAAAATAAATCAATAATCTAACTTAAAATGTATTAAAGAGGCCAGGAGAAGTGTTGATCTTCCTCGTGATGACATTGTATAAGTAAACTTGAGACCTATATAAATACCAATAAGGCCATTATGACAATAATTCACGTCTAATTTAAGGGAGATCGAGCAATGTAAGATCTGACTTGGGAAAGTTGGAATCTTGTGATATCAAATCTTTAAAAACACAAGTGAATTATATTCTTGAAAACCTACTAGCTAAAAAGAAGTTCTACTATTCTACCTCAAGGCAAAGTATAAAAAGAAAACAACGTAAGGTGTTTGAAGGTAAAAACTAATGAAGCTATTATTGAATTTTACATGAATTATTAGAAAATCTAAGACAAAAATAATCATTTAAAAAACATTAAAAATCGTGAAGAACGGTCAGAAGTTCAATTCATCAACTAGTGAACTTGATTCAGGGGCGGCTCAAGGTAATTGGGGGACTAAAGAGAAATTTCAATTCGCGGCCTAAAATATAAATGAATTTCATATACATATTTATTCAAGATTAATTTTTCTCACACTATTCAGATGAAAATTATTAGTTTTTTGATAATGTTTTTTTTCAGTTACTAGTTTTAGATAAGATTTTATTAACTCAACATGGAAAAACATCCTTTAAGTGAGGTAATTATTATATGTATTGTTAACATAGTGCTACAAGTGATAAATTGATAAATACTAAATAAAGATAAGAGTTAGAACCATAGAATTTAACTCAAGAAGTTAATAATTTGGTATACCTCATTTTAATATGCTTGTAATAATTCTTGAAACTAAAATTTAAAAAGGAATTTGTAATTCACTTGTTCAACGCTTTTCACCTAACGTAGGGTACCTATGTTTCACTTAAACACTTTTTGCACAGACGGAGTGCCGCGTAAATTTCGCTGATGCTAGGCGCTTAAACATAAAATTTTTGTCTGATGTGGAGTTCCCAACGGTAATGTTACTCAACATCATTTATTTATATTGATGTTATTCCAATTATACCCTAATTTAAACCCCTATATCTCTCTTCTTTTTCAATTTCTTCTTTCTTTTTCAATTTCTCTCTTCTTCCGTCTTTCATGTCAAGCTTCTGCAATTCTTTCATGGCATATGTGGATGAAGGTCTATATTGTAGGTGTGATAATGATGCATTATTAAAAAATTCATGGATCCAATTAAATCCAAGGCGAAGGTTTTTGACTTGTAGAATTTCAAAGGTAAAATTCTTGTTTCCCTTACATTTTTCAGGTCAATTAGATGATTAATTCGTTTACGTCTAATTCTGTTTGTTTGGTTTTATAGAAAATGGGTGGTTGTGACTATTTTCTTTGATATGAAGATCGACACCCTCCACAAGCAAATAAAGTAATGTGGGGATTGTTGAAGAAAGTCAATGCTTCTGATGAAAAGTTAAAGCGAGCAAAAAATATATTTATTGTTGGTGTCGTTACTACTGGGTTGCTTATGTTTGGAATATGAAAATTGAAGCCTAATTGTTAGTGCACTTCAGGCGTTCGATCTAGTACTATTTTGATGAGCCAAACAGTGTTCGATGTAGTAGTATTTTAGATGTTGTTGTTGCAGTAAATTTTTTATGTAATTGTCTTTTTGAATCCAATGAAATTCTAAGTTCTATTAGTATTTTGATCTTGTTATTATTGTAGTATCAAAAGAAAATGCACAGGCTATAAACAATTATCATATTCGTCAGAATGTAACATTCAAATTACACAAGACGTAAAGAGTTATATTGAATGTTCCATAATGAACTAAAAGTTAGCATTATGCTACATAATATTCAAGGATACAACCCAAAAAAGTGTACCAAAATAAGGTCTTAAAATAAATCTAGTGCAAACAAAAGTTACATACAAACTTCACAAAAGTGTTTACTAGTACCAAAATAAAGTTAGCATACTCCAAAAACATACAACAATTGGTGTTACTTCTTCTTTTTGTTTGCCATTTGCTGCAATTGGGAAGTGGTGACAACATCCTTGTTTTTCCATCGTAAGCTTCTAGGCTTAAAGCCACTGTCTATACCCGTTATACTTGCATCCTTGTAACTTGAACTTGTTGGTAGAATTCTTTGACTTGAAGTCCCAGGTTGTTTTTTGAAGAACAAATCAAAATTAATATATAAATTTTCAGACATTTAAGAGACAGTTAGTGACATACTTACGTTTAGTATTTGGGTTCCACTTGCACTTACGTAAATGTCAAATCCAACATTACTTGCTCCACCTTTAGTTTGCATCTTTGGTCCCCTTCTTGCAGAATCTTCTCCAGTTCCAACATTTCCTCTTTTTTGTCCAGCAATTTGTCTTGTCCTTGGAGGTAGTTGACTTGTTATTCCTCTTGTAACAGGAATACTTGTATCCCCAACCGGTGGTGTTTGACTTGTTTTTGCAGTTTCCCTTACCCATTTAACTCTATTGGTATCACCACAAACTGTTGTTGAAGAAGCACGAGTGTTTGATATTGTTGGTTCGGGTTGATAAGAGCTTGTTTGTTCAGGGTCTCTACTTCCTTGTGAACTTTGACCAGCAGTGAAGTGTGAATTATGGCTAGCTGGTTGTGAAGTATGGACACCAACCTAAATATAAAACATAAAGTATGTTCATAATATTCAACAAGACTTCTAAAAAGGCACAAACAAATAATAAATTAATTTTCCTTGCAATATTTCTTGTTGTGGCCTGGTTGGTTACAATGGGAACAAGTAATTTTCACTCCTTGTTTGGACATCTTTCCATGCTTCTTTCTTGGTTCATCTTTACTCTTTCTTCTATTTCTTGGAGGTTTATCAGGCATTTGTTTAGGCTCAGGAGGCTCAATTCTTGGATTGTTAGTTTCAGGCCACATCTTCATATTTGGAATTGGCTGAATTAAATGACTATAAGCCTTTAAGAAGGTATTCTTCCTATACCAATGCTCCACAAGTGGTTCAGGTTCCTGTCCTACGTGGTACAATGCAGAAATAACATGTTGGCATGGAATGCCTCTCAACTGCCAAGTTCTACAGCTACAAACTCTATTAGTCAAGTTGAATGTATGCCTATACTGCCCTTCTCCAACCTTACACCCAAGATCAGCATTCCAAAGTACCTTTCATGCCCTTCTCCAACCTTACATCCAACCTTACTCTCCTCTAACATAAGTCTAGACATCGGTGCAATATCACATATCCAGGTGTCAGCAAACTTAACCATATCCACAGTTCTAGTTATTAACTTTCTCCTAATTTCCTCCAACATGGTTATTATAGATTGTGTCTACAAGATAATATCCATGAGTTAAAGGTTTCAGACATGTTATTTTCAACTGCATCACATTTGGAGTGCTCTTGAAAGAAAGCTATAACCCGTGACACTCCTGGATAATGTAATAGATCTTCATTTATGTTTTCATTACCAAGTTTGCTCATTTTGTAAAGCTCCTCATTGTACTTCACTTCAAGTTGCCTTCGAACATCTCCAAAATTATTTTCTCCTTTCCTCACCCTTCCATATTTTACTCCAGTTAGACCAGATGTGTCTAGCTCACATTCTAACTTCAGAATTTGGCAGCAGTCCAGCAACAGCTCCTTGAAGACCCTACAAATACAATTAAATACAATTCAAAAAAGAAAACATATTTTACAAATCTACAATTATAAAAGTAATAGACAATTAATAACCTTATGCATATCTGACATTACAGTAAGACCCTGTCCAGTACACAACTGCAAGTCATCTTTCAAGTAGTTGATAAAAAAGCTCCAACTGTGTTTAGTCTCCTTGTCCACAACTGCCCAAGCTATAGGAAACATCTGATTGTATCCATTCCTACCAACTGCTACAAGAAGTTCACCCTTACAAGCTCCCTTTAGGAAACATCCATCAAAGCCTATTATACTTCTACATCCTTCCTTCCACCCCTTCTTCAATGCATCCAAGCATACATAGAAGTACACAAACAAATTTTTCCTGGTACAGTTTCCTTATCCATTCTCACCCAAACAGAACTACCAGGGTTGGTTTATTTCATAACTTCAGCATAATCACATAACCTTGCAAATCCCATATTCCAGTCACTCATGTTTTCTCTAAGAATCATCTTTTTTGTCTTGTAACAAATTGTTCTACCCACATGTTGTCCTAGCTCCTCCCTGCACAATTATTGTATTTCCCAAATCCTCAAAGATGGTTGATTAGTTATTTTATCCTTGAATCTCTTTGCTAGGAACTTAGTTGTACACATTTTTTTCTTATTAGATAGTAAACATTTGTGTATGGGATGGTAATTCTTAATCATAAAGTTATCAGAATACCTATCAATAGCACCATAGCATAGCCATTTGCATTTTTCTTGGAATTTACATTTAGCTCACACTCTATGAGCTTCATTAGGCCTTAACTTAATTTGATAATTTTTTTCAACGGTATATTTATCTAGAGCATTTCTAAATTCCTTAGCATTCTCAAAATTATTCCAAGTTCAAAAATAGCAATACTACATTCATCATCATACCTGACCTTTTTGCTCTTTCTTCTGCATGGTAGATCAACACCTCCAACAGTTTCTGCATCTAGGATACTAGTGCTATCATCACTGTCACATTTTGAGCTACCAATGTACTTATCATCCCCCCCCCATGCCAACATATGTATCCTTCTTATTTACTCCAATATCTTCAAAGCCTTTATTTACACCTGCCTCACCTATTGGCACTTCTTCAGTTACTGTTTTTGTCTTCCTATCTTTTTTCTTCCTAAGATTAGGATTTCTTTTGTTTCTCCTTTCATCCCTAAGGGATCTCAGTTCTTCATCAACATCTGAATCATTTTCATCTGGAATATCACCTACATTTGAATCACTATTAAGCAGATCTGATCCAACTTCCTTATGATTTGTATCACCTCCACTCAAATTTGAATCATTATCGACACTCTCCTCAACATTAATACCTACAGATTCATCAAATAGTGTCAGACCATGGTAAAAGAGAACAGGGAGCAGGTAATTCTTCTTCTAATTCATCAACTTCATAGACCACATAGACATGAAACTCATCACCATCTACCAAGTCTTACACAAATTCTAACAGGTGAGTATCAGAAGTAACTTGAACTAATTCATCACCATTTTCACAATAAAATGTCTTAACATTTGTGTAACCAAGTTCTTTAGTGTAGGAAAGAAACTCGACAAGACTAAAATAGTCTTTATCTACGACGACACTATATACATCTACTTCTCGTTGGTAAGTACGTTTATATATATATAAGATTCATTTCTAAGTGTTATTGAGTCAAGGTCATAATGAACTTTTAGCATAAAGTGGAGTTGAAAGGTTCCCTAACGATAAAGTTTTTTGTGTTACTTTATTCAAGGATCAACTTGAATCAATCCTATCTCCTAATATATGAAAGATTTTTGTGAATTAATACCCAACCAAATGAAAGGCCTTGAAGTCTTCTATCAATCATTTTTTTTATCGTTTGTCAATCTAGGTTATGTGCTAAAAGCTAAACCTATTTTTCTTGGCACTACGTAGTTTGCGCGAAGTGGACATCCACCGCGCAGCGGGGTGGCAAGGTTAGTGTTATTGTTAAAGTTGCACAAACTGTCACGCAAAGTAAGCTTCAGCTTTGCATTGTGCATGTTACTTCGGATTTTTTTTAGTTTTCTCTTCCTTTCACATTTTATGAGGGGTGTTTATGTCTTTCCTCATTCCAAAACCCCGACGACTACTAATTTCTCCCAATATCCAAAGTCAATCAATTATGATTGTAAAAAGCCTCTCATTCAAAAAGAAATCTACTCTAAAAAAACTTTAAAAAACACCTAAGTTAGGATTTCAAGGTTTCCAAGCAAGTCATTCTTTAAGCTTCTTTAAGAACCTTGTTCTTCTATGTATGTAAGGTTTCAGTGAGAGTATTCCTTTCACTCTCATGCCTAAAGTATTTTGATTCTCAATAATTTCACAAGATTATTAGAAGTAATGTTAGGGCTTTTATGAAATTATGATCATTCTTCAATAAGCTATTTTTTTCATTGTTTCGCTTTGATTTTAAAATCTTACGATACTGATTTAGCATGATTTTTATGGTGGTTCAAACCACTATGGATATTAAGCATGAAAATAAACATGATATCAGTTACAACTTAAATACATGTTATTATTTTAAGATACAACTTTTTATCTTAGCCTTATATATATATATATATATATATATATATATATGATTCAAGATGATAAGTGATTTTCATACCTATGAACATTATATAAATATATGTTGTTTTAGGAGGATTTTTTAGAACCGAGAGGATGCAAGTTTGAAAAACTCAAGTCCTATAATTATGCACCAACTAGGAGTGGCAAACGAGCGAGTCCAGTCGAATATGAGTTAATCAAAGAACGAGTTAAATAAAAATGGATAAGTTACCAACTCGACTCATATTTTAAATGGGTAAAACGAGTTTACCTAATGGATAATATGGTAACCATATAACCCATATTATATTAGAGACCTTGCTAAAAGCTTTAAAAACAAAACAAAAAAAATCTATCACTTAACCCCCCCCCCCCCAACCTCTCCAAAAAAAAAATTAGAAAATTTTTAAGAAAATTACCACACCCTACCCCTTACTAGCCC